GAGGGGAGGGAGAGGAGAGAGAGGAGAGGGGAGGGAGAGGAGAGAGAGGGGGAGGGAAGAGGCAATGGAAAGACCTTTTCTCAATTATTGTGGTCGTGGGATAGGGTAACACTAAATATTTTTTAGGTCTTTTGTTTCTTAGAAGGCTCAAGTTTCAGTTCTTCTCCTGGTCCATTTCTAGAGTCACCTAGTGACCTAAAACTGAACAGTGGAGTAACAGTATTTTAGTGAAATGCTCTGTGTGTCTTTATAAAATGAATGCTTTGCCTGTTCCCGGTCAGTAAATACTAATTGATTTCCCCCCATCAGTAAGACTGACTTTTCTCTAGAACAGCAGTTCCCAAACTCTTTAGTCTCAGGCCCTTCTGTGCACCCTTAAAGACTGAGGGCCACAAATAACTTTGGTTTATGTAAGTTATATCTATCTATTCTTACTGTATTCAAAATTAAAACCAAGCGTTTTTAAAGGACAAAAACGCAAAGCACAAAGCACACACTCCATTAGGGCAAGGCTATCCCCACATATCCCATAGCCTCTGGAAAACTCCACCGTATCCTTGGAGAGAAGGCGAGTGAAAGACATTCTTAGCAATATTATAAAAACAGTTGTGACCTCACCAACCCTGAGAGCCCCTGGACCGCACTTTGAAAATGCTACTTTGTGTTAAAGTGTTATTTTACATTGTTTGTTCCTCTTGATCATATTATGAAGTTATAGCCTTTTACATATTCAACATTCCAATTAACTAAAATTCTTGTCTCTATTTTAATATCCATGCTTGTCACGGACTGAACTGTGAGAGTCCCTTCAATCTAACGCCTTTGTTATGAACTTAGATGTCTTTGAAAACAGCCTTTCTCTTATAAAAACAGTGTTTCAAGCTCATCTGGATTCTCCAAGAAGTCCTGGTTCCTTTAAGGAAGAATATATTAGAAATGAAAAGCTGGAGAGTATGATATTATATGCAGAGGAAACCAAACTCAGTCACAGAAATCATCGGTGGTACACTTGCATCTGGTCAGCATATTACCGGTCATTTGCACCTGTTGAGCAAATAGGCTTATGGTCAGGGTCCCCAGAATGCTTGGGAGAGACCAGGGAAGTCTTGCACCCTTCCTCTACCCTCAAGAATGAAAGCAAGCAGGCTTACCAAAGGTCCTGAAAAATCCTCACCCAATGATGGACTACATGGAAAATACTGTCCTATGAGGTTGAAGGAAGCTTGTCTTCTACACAGGGGTGTTACTAGGTGTCTGCTTCACATGGGTGAATGCATACAGATAAGATGTATCTCTTACCCACCTAAAGAAACTTGTGGGCTTGGTTATATTTGTGGGCATTTTCCAAAAATCAGGTAGTCAAACGACAAAACTGAATATCTTTTCATTTCTTTTTCTTTCTTTAAGACACAGTCTTCTTATGTTTGCCCAGCCTAGAGTGGAGTAGTTATTGACAGATGTGATTGTTGTGCACTTACAGCCCTGAACTCCTGAGCTCAAGTGATCCTCCTGTCTCAGCCTCCCTAGTAACTGGGACTACAGGTGTGCATCATCACACCCAGCTCACTTTTTTTTTTTTTTAAACAGTTGCCTCTACACATGCTTTGCCTTATTCTAAATGGTTGTCCATTTTATTCTTACCAAATTTTAAAGTCCTTCAAATAATCTTGAATTTAGTCCCTTATTATATACGTTGCAAATAACTTATTCTAGGCTAATTTTATAATACTAGTTATGCTCTTGTATCACATATAAATTTAGAGTCTCCTTTTATGTAGTCAAACCTAGAACAATAACAGCACAAAGGAAGGAAGCTGGGATTGGGGGTGGAGACAAATAGCCACTGAGGGAAAGAAAAAAATGAAAGCAATGAAATAAACTCTTTCCAGTTTTCATTGAAGTCCTGTGCTTCAGTGTGAATTTAACATGTTTGTGCTTTACTTAACAATTCAATGACTATTCCAGTGTAAAGTATCTTCCAAATTGCAAATTTAAAGATACTAAACCAAGAGCCAACATCACACTTACTGAAATCCAGAAGGATTTCCAAAAACAGGACAAGAATACCTATTATTACTCATACCATTCAATTATTGTAGGCATTCTAGTCAATATATAAGGAAAGTGAAACAAAAGACAGTAAATG